TATCTCACTTTCATAATCCAATTGATCTTTCATCATTTTTCCAATGATTTTAATCAAGATAAGACATTGGAATCAGGAATGCTATTGATCCGAATGATGGGTTTTAGTCAGCCCCCACGGGGGCCCAAGGACCATTTCTTTTCCCCAGGACCCCACAACACCCCTGCCCTGCTAACAGATTTAACACCAGGAAATTGTCAAGAAATACAAAACCAATAAGCAAGCGCTTCCACAGGTAAACAGAAGTAACGTGAGCAGCTAAGGTGAGTGTGGGATCCTTGGAGGATGTGACTGGGGAATTGTTAATGGGGTACACAGAAATATCAGATCATTTGAACAAATATATTGCATCAGCATTCATGGTGGAGGACAGTAATCATTCTAAAGATACCACATCAGTTAGGTATAGAGATAGTAGGAACTGCAGATGCTGGAGAATCCAAGACAACAAGGTGCAGGGCTGGATGAACACAGCAGGCCAAGCAGCATCATAAGAGCAGAGAGGCTGACGTTTCGGGCCTAGACCCTTCATCAGAAAAGCATCAGTTAGGTGTTGGTGGGAGGAATGGTCTTCTAACATTCTCTATCATGAGGGACAAAGTATTTGACCAATCAATGGGACTAAAGATAAACAGGTCACCAGGATCTGATGGCTTGCATCCAAGGGTTTTAAAGGAAGTAGCAGCAGTAATAGTAGAGACATTGATCAAAATATACAAGAACTCACTGGATACTGAAAGGACTCCAAAGGTATTCTGAACTAATATGACTGTGAGTCAGTTAGCATAACAGCTGTTGTTGGAAAAATCCTACAGTCCATTATTAAGGAAAAAATAAAAGGACATTTCGAAAAGCTCAACACAACCACAGTCAATGTGGTTTTGTGAAAGGGAATTCATGTTTGACAAATTTGCTAGAGTTCTTTGAGGATGTAACAAGCAGAGTTGGTAGAGGGTAACCCAGTCAATGCAGTGTATTTGGATTTCCAAAATGCATTAGATATAAAGGTTTATTGCACAACATTAGCGCTCAAGATATTGGGGGCAACATATTAACAAGGATTAAGGATTGGTTAAGACACAGAAGACAGAGAGTTGGGATTAATGAGTCTTTTTCATGTTGGACACATGTAACAAGTGGAATGCGACAAGGATCAAAGCTTTGGCCTCAATTATTTATTATCTATATAAATGATATGGAGGAGGGGAAAAGTGCAAGGTCTCCAAATTTGTTCATGATATAAATTTAGGTGGGAATATGTTCTGATTGAAACAAAAGGAATCAGCAAGGGGATGCAGAAAAGTGGGATGAATGGGTAATAACCTGGCAGATGGAGTTTAATGTCGAAAAGTGTCAGGTCGTGGACTCTAGTAGGAAGAATCAAAAGTAGTCTAATTTTAATGGAGAGATATTCCAAAAAAGTACAACTCAGAGGAATCTAGATGTTCAAAAAGTTAGCATTCAGGTACAGCAAGTAATTAGAAGACAAATGGAATCATGGCCTTTATTGCAAGCATGTTGGAATTTAAAAATAGTGAACACTTGTTACAACTGTTGGTGAGACAAAGCCTGAAGTATTATGTACCATTTTGGTCCTTGTATTTAAGAAAGGATATATTGACACTGGAGGCAAAAGAATCTCAAAGAAGATTCACGAAGCTGATTTCTGGGATGAACGGGCTACACTTTCAAGCACAGCTAAACTGGTTAGCCTTTATTCATTAGGATTTAAGGCCACAAGAAGTAGCATCAGGAGTGGGCCATTCAGTCCTCCAAGTCTACGCCACCATTCAAGAGGATCATGGTTGATCCAATATTCCTCATGTCCACATTCCTGCCCTTTCCCTATAACCCTTGGTTCCCCTACTGATCAAGAATTTATCTATCTCAGCCTTAAATATACACAAAGAGTCTACCCCAACAGATCCCTGTGGCAAGGTGGTCGAAAGATTTAAAACCATCAGAGAAGAAATTCCTCCTCATCTCAGTCTTGAATTGGGGTCCCTTTATTCTGAGACTATGGTCTCTGGTCCTAGACTATCCAATGAAAGTGAACATTCTCTCAATACTTATCCTGTCAAGTCCCTTAAGAATCTTATATGTTTCAATGAGATCATCTCTCATTCTTGCAAATTCCAGTGAATAGAATCCCAACCTGTTTGGCCCTTTGCTCATAAGACAATCCTCCAAAACAGGAATCACCCTAGTGAACCTTCTCTAAACTGATTGAATGAAATGATATCTTTCCTCAAAAAGGGGAGCCAAAACTGTTCACAGTAATCCAGATATGGTTTCACCAGCACCTTGTACACTTACAGTAAGATTTCCCTACTCTTATACTCCAAACCCATTGAAATAAAGGCCAATATTCCAGATTACCTGCTGCCCCCTGTGTGCTAGCTTTCTGTGTTTTGTGCACAAGTCACTGCTGTCCCTTTGTGTTGCAGCTTTCTGCAGTTTTCGCTATTTGAATAATATTCTGTCCTCTGAGCTTCTTTCCAAACCGAACAACTTCTTATTTTTCCACATATTTTTCCATGCCCAAATTTTTGTCCACTTGCTTAACCTATCAAAAGGTCTCTGTAAAGTGTATCCCTTTCACAACCTGTCTTTCTACCTATTTTAGCATCGTCTGCAAAGTTGTCTACAGTACATTCACTTCCTTCCTCCAAGTCATGAACATATATTGTAAACATAGATAACAAGGTGTAGAGCTGGAGGAACACAGCAGGCCAGGCAGCATCAGAAGAGCAGGAAAGCTGATATTTCGGGTCTGGACCCTTCTTCAGAAACGACAGCTTTCCTGTTCCTCTGTTGCTGCCTGGCCTGCTGTGTTCATCCAGCTGTACACCTTGTTATCTCAGACTCCAGCATCGGCAGTTCCTACTATCTCTATATTGTAAACAACTGTTGTTCCAGTACGGATCCCTGTGGAACCTCTTCTCTTCACAGGTTGACAACTCAACAAAAAACCCTGTCCCTACTTGCTTTTTGTTGCCATTAGCCAATTCTCAATCCATACCAATACACTGCTTGAAACACTGTGGGTTCTTATCTGATGACTTGACCTTTTGTGGGGTACCTTGTCGAATTTCTGCTCAAAATCTAAATACAACATAACTACTGGTTCCCCTCCATCCACTCTGGTTGAGACTTTCTTCAAACACTCTAATTAACTAGTTAGGCAGAATTTCCCAATAATGAACCCATGCTGACTTTGCTTGATTATATTTGATTTTCCAAATATTCTGTGACTACTTCCTTCATAATTGATTCCAATACTTTTGAAGTATCGATGTGAGTCAAACCAGTCTTTAGTTATTTGTTTTTTGCCTCCCTCTCTTTTTAAATAAGGGTGTCACATTAGCAGTTTTCCAATCCTCTGTATTTCACCAGAATATGAGGATCTTTTGGAAAATTATAGCTATCTCTGTGGCCACCTCTTTTAGGATCCTAGGATGCAAGCCATAAGGGCAAGGGGACCTTTCTGTCCTTAGCCCCATTAGTTTGATTAGTACCTACTTCTTTAAGAACGGTGATGGTATTTAGTTCCTCCCCATACTCTTTAGTAATAGTGGAAGGTTTGAAATATCATCCACAGTGAAGACTGATATAAATTATTTCTTTAGTTACCTTGCTGTTTCCCTTGTTCCCCAAAATTGTCTTCCCAGATTCATTTTCAAGGGGCTTATGTTCACTTTGATCTTTCTTTTACATTTTGTCTATTTAAAGAAGATCTTATTGTCAGTTTTTTTTTTAATATGCCTGACTGGTTTGCCCTCATAGTTTATTTTCTCTTTCTTTACTATTGTTTTAGTCCTCCTTTGCTAAATTATGAATTTATTCCAATTTTTAAGGCTATCCTTTGTCTCTGACCTCCTTATATGCTTTTTCTTTCAACCTCATCAGCCCTGATAACTGAATAACAGAGTCAACTCCATGACCTAATGGCCAAATCCTTCTCCAGTTTCTTTATTGCTCTTACCAATTTTTATAGAAAGCATTTTGTTCAGATACATCATGGCTTGGTATGGAACAGCTCTGCTCAGGACCATAAGAAACTATAGAGAGTTGTGAACACAGTCCAGTCCAAGATGCAAAGCAACCTTCCATCCATTGACTCCACCTACACTTCTCACTGCCTCGGGAACACAGCCAACATAATCAAAGACCCCTCCCACCCTGGTTATAACCTCTTCCAACCTGTTCCGTTGGGCAGGAGATGCAAAAGTTTAAACACACGTACCAACAGATTCAAGAACAACTTCT